AACTGAGATCTTACTCCAATATGGCTCTCTTTTTGTTTTCTTATTTTTTACTTAATGCTGTATTGTGAATACACTTTCATATTCTTAAAAAAAAAAAGTCAAGAACATGACTTTTATGACCATGTAGTATTTGGTCATCTACTTTTGTTTGAGGTGACACCTTCAAATTCACAACCAAGCTCTATGCAAAATGGAATAATGAAAAACAAAAAAGTCAGCTGTACGTTAATAACATTTAAAACTTCAAAAAGGAAAATGAAGTCAGTTATCCAAGTGATTTATGGGAAAAAAAGTTCCAGAACAGTTTTCTGACAAAGTCATTCCATTGATTTATTTTTTTAAGCTGTGGCTTCACATAAGATTATCTTTCCACTGTCTCCCAAGGTTTTAGGTATCAATGCTGCAACATTTTAAAGAGTTTAAAAAAAAAAAACAAAAAAACAAAAACCTAATACCTGTTTCAACATAAAAGGTAATTTTTAAAAATTTTATTTGTATGAATATAACAAGATAAAATATTAAGACTTTTTTTTCAATTAAGAAATTTCGCAGGGCAGTAGAGCATGTGACTCTTGATCTCAGGGTCATGAATGAGTTCAAGTGCTATGTTGAGCATGGAACCTACTTAAAACTTAAAAAAAAAAAAGATCTAAGAAATTTCATAGGCATTGATCAAAGAATCAAGTCCTTGATCCTACGATTGAGAAAGGCCCATCCAGGAGAGAAGGATGAGATCCAGAGTACAAGGGGTGGAGTTCTTTCTGATAGGAGTTCTCTCTTTTCCACTGAAACAAGAAAGATGCAAGAGCAAATGATCACAGTAATAATCTTCTGAAGTTAAGGCATTCCCTGCAGATGGTTTCCAGTTTCTCAAGTATGATCCAAGTTCACCAGCTAAAAATGGGGATAGGTGGGGAGAAAAGGATGTAAAAGATTTGAGTAGAGAAGCCAAGGTATGAATGGTTAATCCAGCAAATGAATACTTTTGCCAGACAGTATAAAGTGCTCCCATGAGGTCTGAGGTCATGAATTAAAACCAGTCAGCCCTGTAGTATGATTTTTCTATAGCAGTCTTTGCTACTTGGATGCAGCAATGAAATGGAAAAGTTTGTTTCAGTAGGGTTCAGTCCAAACATGACTAAGTAAGAGTCTACCTTGAGGTTCCTCCAAGTAAGAAAGAGAGAGACATTGGGGTAAGAGAGTTGAAAATGTCTGCAAAAGAACAATTACAAGGATTAATTGAGGAACCTAAGTTGGGTAAGTTGGAAGTGTTTATGAGGTCAGAAGCATAGTAATTGTTTTTTTTTAAGTGTTGGGCTTAATAGAATGGAGGTGGTAATAGGTCAGTGAGAGTATAATGAGTTGAGGAAAAAGGCTAGTGATTGACAACTATGATGCTTTAAATTGAGATTTAGAAGGCAAAACAGTTACTGATTGCAAGGTTCTAAGTTACCACTTGCAGTGGATGGATGATACGGAATAGAGGAACAAGTTGCTGGAGATGAAGAGGTTAAAATTCTACAAGGCCAAGTGCTGAGGGTGCCTGGCTGGCTCAGTTGGAAGGACACGTGACTTTTGATCTCACAGGTCATGAGTTTGAGCTTCATGTTGGGTGTAGAGATTATTTAAATAAACTTTAAGGGGTGCCTGGGTGGCTCAGTCGATTAAGCGTCTGCCTTCAGCTCAGGTCATGATCCTAGGGTCCTGGGATGTAGCCCCGCATCAAGCCCCACATGGGGCTCCTTGCTTGGTGGAAGCCTGCTTCTCCTTCTCCCACTCCCCCTCCTTGTTTTCCCTCTCCCTTGCTGTGTCTCTCTCTGCTGGTGTCGTGTGGGCCATCTATAAGAATGTTAAATTCAGGGGTGCCTGGGTGGCTCAGTGGGTTAAGCCTCTGCCTTTGGCTCAGGTCATGATCCCAGGGTCCTGGGATCGAGCCCTACATCGGGCTCTCTGCCCTGAGGAGAGCCTGCTTCCTCCTCTCTCTCTGCCTGCCTCTCTGCCTACTTGTGATCTCTGTCTGTCAAATAAATAAATAAAATTAAAAAAAAAAAAAGAATGTTAAATTCACAGAGAAGATAGTGATGGCGGGAAAAGCTAGAGCAAGGAAAAACAGCCTATAATATCTGAGGGAGAGTGGCCAAAAGGTTGATAGATGATCAAGATGTTAAAGGTGATTTAGCAAGATGATATGAACTTCATACATTTCTGAACAAGGAAAGAAGAAAAATAATTTTGTAGTAGTAATCAGGATCAAAGAAGCCACCCAAATTCTGTAGCCCAACCTCTTGGCCTTAAGGTACACGGAGTATGGGGAATAAATAACTCCTACTTAGGAGCTCTACAGCAGAGTTAAAAGCAAATATTACCTTCATCCCTAAAAATTAATAGTGCTAGGGATATAGCTGGGTGCATCTAGGACAATTGCGAGTCTGAATTTGATAAGTCATGACTTAGTGGATGATGTAGAAAGGCGATCTGATAGCTTATGACATCATCCATGTCTCCTGGGAAGCATAGAATCTGCAAGTAAGCTCCAGTTGATAGTGTCTAAGAATAAGAAAAGGAGAGGTAATTAATGAAAGGGAATGAAATGTTTTTGCTCAAGGAATATTCATTTCAAGCATCTAGAATGCAGTTCTTTGTGAATTATATTATCTTTACTGTTTGCCTGTAAGGCATAGCACTTGTTTACTTATTTTAAAGATTTTATTTATTTGAGAGAGATAAAGGGGGGGGTGGGGAGAAGTAGAGGGAGAGGGACAAGCGGACTCCATGGTGAGCTCAGACCCCCCTACATGGGGCTCAATCTCACAACCCTGAGATCATGGCCTGAGCTGAAATCAGAAGTTGGATGCTTAACAAACTGAGCCACCCAGGTGCCCCATACTGCATCTATTTAAAACAACTTGCAAAAACAAACACCTTGCAAACTCAACAGGTGACTGATTTCTTTTAGCTTGTGGTTAAAAAGTAGGATAAAGTATTATCTCTAAGGATTAAACAGCCTGGAAAATGGAAAAATATCTGGTGCAAGGAAATGATAAAAGATATGAAAAAAGTCACTGCACTATCCTTGGGTAATTCTGTGACTTCATCACTGTATTCTATGACATCAAATTTAGGTAGAATATTATCCTCAGATATCAGTGATGCCTCCCTCTCTAAGGATCCATTTCAAGGACCAAGCTCCTCAGGTATCCTCAGACCATGGGGCAGCTGTCAGAGCCGGGAGACCCTTCTATGTACCCAATCTGGTCAGATCATATATAGCCCTGGTAACTCTGACCCTTTAGATACAGCAGCAAAAACCACCTCTTAAAAACTGTTAGTATAATCAGACCGGAGCCAAATTCTTCAACTAGCAAGTTAACGATTTAGCAGGATAATTTACTAATCCAAATAGGGTAGACTAGACCCATCAACTGGGGTCTTGCCAAGATTATGCAGACTGGGACTATCCCACGTGCATTAATTACATTTGTGGTGCAAAATCATGGTCCTTTGCCTCTCAGCTCAGTCACCCTATGAAGATAAAAGCAATTGCCTATGTACCCAGGGAAGCTGTGGGGAGAAAAATTAGGTAACTTTCCCAAGGCACCCTAAAAATGTACTAAAAAATTTGCTACTTAATTTTTAATTTGCATTACTAGCTAATTACTATTGCTGAAATATATGGAATACTGAGAGTTCTACAAAATAATTTAAATAAATAATTGCCCCTAGGGAAAGAATCCATCATTAAACAGCATCTCCTCAATTTGAACAAAATATAATGACTTAACTCATGGGGAACATTCTTAATGAAGGCACTTTAAAAAAATTTCCTCAAACAACAATGCAGAAATCAGATAAACATTTTTTAAAAATTAAGCAGCTTATAAAACAGCTTGGAGGTCAGAATTTGGGGGAAATGATTAAAGTACCCTAAATGCAAGGTCAGTTTTTCTTTCGTGGAGGAAAGCATCTTGGAACATGTACATTCGTAAGAAACACAAATATTTGTCATCACTGGTATTTGTTTTCAGGAAGACATTTTAATCTTACGAAATTCCTGATACTTTTCAATTTGGATCAGTAATATGGGCTTGATTAGGGTTCCTGGCCTGATTATAGGTCACCAGGCTCTGCTATGATTGAAATCTAGGTATGCACCGTCCAGCTATCTTACGTTGCCCATTAAGGCATTCCTAACTGTTTTGCTTCATCCTGTTTTATTATTTAACATTAGGTTTGATGAAGTTATGGTAAGATACTTATGAGTGTAAGAATCTAACCCAGAGATGCTCTCAACAAAAATGCAGTTAGCTGTGCCCCAGTGTTCAAAATGAAATTTAGAAACGTCCCGACCTGTAGGGTAGGAAACGAATGAAATATTTGACGATACAATTTTGTCACAGATTCAGGAACATTTTAAAGTGCCCAGTGGTTGAGGTCTGGCTTTTCCCGAATTTCAGAAACAAAAGAAGCACCTGCAAGCAGAGAGGGATTTTACTGCTTGCCCTCCCCTTTCCTCCCCCCAGGTAAACCAAATCAAGGAAGCGGAGTGCCGATAAGCACGCCTTGCTCCTTTTCTTTCCCTCCGGGTCGAGCGTTTGGGGAAGGAAAGGCTGCGGTCATTCTTCGGTAAATTAGTGTCCTACGATTGAGAAAGGCCCAGTCCAGGGTCCTCGCAGCTGGCGTGAAAGTCCGCCCACTGGAAGGCGATCGACCCTAGAGAGAAAAGCTCCTTCTCAAGCAGGGCGGGGGCGGGGGCGCGGGGGGGAAAGAAACCGCACACACAGTAGTAAGACTTGTCCCTTATCGGCATCTTAGAGGAAGGGTGGAGAAAAGGGAAATAGAAACACACCAGGCGCCGGGGCTCCCGCCCCAGCGGCTTTTAAACTGCGTTTCTACAACCTCTCGCACCGTGCAGCGGCTAATGGAACCCGCGCGAGGGATCCTACCAATCACCGCCCGGCTTCCTCCCACCGCGGGCCAATGGCGGCGCGCGTTCTTGGGGCGTGGGTGAAACAGGCTGATCTCTCCTTGCTTGTGTAGTGTGTGGGCTGGGGTTGGTGGAGGCTCTTATCTTGGCCGCACTTGGTCCGCACTTGTGCTCGGGGGGGCTTTTGTGTCCGGCTTTTGCTTTGCTTTGTGTATGCGAGTTTTTGCTTTGCTCCGCGGCGCTCCTCCCGGGCAGGAGGCGTAGGGCTCGGAGGCGGCAGCGCGGTCCCCCCGGGCAAAGAGCGAGCGCGCCGGCTTGAGCTGCGGGTGTGAGGTCTGCAGGGAAGGGGATTCGCCGCGGAGATGCCGGAGTTCCTGGAAGACCCCTCGGTCCTGACGAAAGAGAAGTTGAAGAGTGAGTTGGTCGCCAACAATGTGACGCTCCCGGTCGGGGAGCAGCGCAAAGACGTTTACGTGCAGCTCTATCTGCAGCACCTCACGGCGCGCAACCGGCCGCCGCTGGGCGCCGGCGCCAACAGCAAGGGGCCCCCGGACTTCTCCAGCGACGAGGAGCGCGAGCCCACCCCGGTCCTCGGCTCCGGGGCCGCGGTCTCAGGCCGCAGCCGGGCCGCCGTCGGCAGGGTAAGGACGCCCAGCCGGGGCCACAAAGGCGGGCGGTTGGCAGTTGTCGCCCCTACCCCCGCCTCTCCGCGCGCGCTCGCAGCCCTTCCTCCTTGGCGCCCCCTCTTGCCTCCTCGGTGGCGGGGCTGTCCCCGCGCGGGACCGAGAGGCTGGCCTGTGGGTCTGCGGACGCAGGATTCAGCTTGCAGCTCTGGAAGGGGAGGCCGCTGGAGGGAAGAGTCGGGAAGTTGGGGCCGCAGGACTAGCGGTTGTGTGTGTGGAAGGTGTGAAGTCGGCGTTTGCTGTTCTGTGGCGCGCGGATAGCTCGGTGTCCCTCGACCGTCGGGAGTGGGTATTTCGGCGGGGACTTCCGTGCCCGATTCGAAAGCCCTTTGGGGAGGGTCAGCCTGAAACTGCAGTAGGTTACATTCGAGCGTTTTCCCGCTTTATTAACTGAAATGACTAGTAACCGAGTCTCAGAGCGCTCCCTGGAGGGCAATTTGTGACATACTAATTTCTAACCAAAATTTGAAATAAAGAAATTCCCGCCTTTTTATGGTTTTGCATATGGAGGTCTTTTTGAACCGTTTATGTTTTTCTCGTTAAGTGTTCCAGCAACAGGCTATGTTTTGGCGGGGCAGTGTTGTTCTAAGTTAAAATGAGCACTTAAAAATAACATCGTTAAGCGGTTATCTTAGGCGCCTAGAATATTTGGAAATTCTAGGGGGCTTGGGTTTTTGCTTTTCTTTTTTTTTTTTAACTTTTTGGTAAATTTTGCATAAGAAAAGGAAAGATTTCGGAAGCCGGAGTTGCTCATTTCTTGGCATTCTGATGTATCAGTGATTGCAATTTGGATTATCTAATCCCGGTTAAGTCCAAGATTGGTTTTACCAAATGCATATTCTGTTTGAGAATAGTTTGGGTTTTGTTCTGTGGGTTTTTATATGCTGTTTTGTTGGCGTGAACTGCGTACTTCTCAGATTTCAAATCATGACAGACCGTAGTTAAAATTGGTGATTGGATGTAATCAATCACGTTGCTTTGTAAGGCTTTGAATGTGGAGTTTATAGTTGTTGAGTTTAATAACTCAGAAGTACTGCGTTCTTCAAAGTTGTGTTGTTTAGTTTTTAAGAAATCTGTGTGATGTGTTTTTCTGGACTACCAGGTGGAAATGAAAGAAAGATGTAATGTAGATTTAACTGAAAATCTTAATCTGAGCTTTAGAGAAATTGAAAATCTTAATGTCTTAATAATGCCTGGCAACTGGGAGTGTCAAATATTTATTCGTTGAATGAGAAACCAACTGCACCTTATTGCTTCGTATGTCTTAGTGGGTTTGCAGAAAGCCAGTTTACTTCTCCATAATAGAGAAATTTAAGGGATTCTTAAAGACAAAGTAAAGCATATTGATTATCTGCTTTTTCCCAGGCCCCGTGGGAAAAAATATTCAAATGATTTTAGTAAAGATTTTGGTGGAAATGAAATCTTTCCCATTTAAATCAGCACACTAAAAAAAAAAAGTTCTTCTGTAGAATCCTATATTGTATTCTGTGTAAATGTATTCTTGAACCGTGGAAGTACTTGGTTGTGTTTATAAATAGGATTGTTTGTTCTTAACTTGATTCGTTTTCAGCGGAAACCTCCACCTTGGTTTTGATGCTTTTCCTTCAAAAACTTTTAAAGAGTGTGTCCCAACTAATATAACATTGTATGTTAAGTATACTTCAGTTTAAAAAAAAAAAAAAGTATGTCACAATCTGCTCTGTGTTTTGGAGGTGTAAAAATTTGAGTTCAGTTATCCAGCATTTTTTAATTCCTACCAAGTGTTCATAACTACTGGAGATTGATTTCTGCAGACCCTACCCACTAGCATAATTATATAATTTGTTGGATTTTTTTGTATGCTAATTGATTGTGTTTGTTACTCAAATTTCCCATGGTATCAGAGTTGGTCAGCACCACTCAAATAAGTTCTGGGTGAAAGGAATTAATATTTTAAGAGAATCTACAATCTCCAGTAGCATGTTATGCTGTTTATATCTCATTTAATGTTTTAATCCATATAAAGAAGAACTATCTCGTAGCTATATATTCAAGTCTTACCTGCCTTGAGTTTTTAAAACTCAAATACCAGGTTCAATGGTGTGAACAACTTGAGGAAGTAGTGGTAGTTAGGCGGTAGCATCATTTTCTGTTTTAAAGCACATTAAGTAAAAGTGACTTTAAATTGAATTTAGGAATATGATAGACTTTATCAGGCATAGGAAAAATTATCTTGTATTTGCAGGAAAAGAGCCTTAGGGTATTTATAATACTCAATAAAATCATTCTCTGTACTCTTATGTGTACAGTATTTTATGTTGTAGCCATTGTTAGCCCCACATGTAAAACAATGTAGTCACATTTCTTAAAGAATATAATCTAGCAGAAAGTCAAATTATGTTTGAGAGTTATAGATAAGGCAGATTTTTTTAAGTGGTAAATTTTTAGCATTTTATTTCTTTATTTTAAGATTTTGTTTATTTATTTGACAGAGAAAGATCATAAGTAGGCAGAGAGGCAGGCAGAGAGAGAGGAGGAAGCAGGCTCCCTAAGCAGAGAGCCCGACGGGACTCAATCCCAGGACCCTGAGATCATGACCCAATCCAAAGGCAGAAGCTTAACCCACTGAGCCACCCAGGCACCCCAATTTTTAGCATTTTATTTTATTTATTTTTTTTTAAAGATTTTATTTATTTGACAGATACAGATTACAAGTAGGCAGAGAGGCAGGCAGAGAGAGAGGAGGGGGGGGAAGCAGGCTCCCCGCTGAGCAGAAAGCCCGATGATGCAATGATGCGGGGCTTGATCCTGGGACCCTGAGATCATGACCTGAGCCGAAGGCAGAGGCTTTAACCCACTGAGCCACCCAGGTGCCCCAGTTTTTAGCGTTTTAAAACAAACCAAACATTACTGTGACTTGGCCAAGGACTGAGGATATACCTTCTATTTAAATATGGGTTTATGAAGAGTATTTTTGATTGAAGGAGAAATTTTCCATTTAGCCATGGCCACGGTCTTTTAGATTCATTTGGTGTGATATGACAAATATTTGCATGTTCAAATTTTTGGTTTTGGTTTTCAGTTTTCTTGTTTCTGAGCTTTTTATTTTATGCATCTTGATTATGCCAGTGTTTTTAGGTGTTGAAATTACTTAGATTGTTGACACAAAAATAAACAATCACAAAGTTGGCAATCTGCCTTATTGTTCCAAGGTACAAAGCACAGGTATAGCTATTTGGAATCCAGTGGAGCATAGCATTCTTGAATGGTCTGATCTAGCAGATCATGAATTTTTAACAGGAAATATTTAAAGACATGGAATAGAACAGTAAAAAGTATGCTAGCGATGGTGAGTGTTAATTAAATCATAAATTGACTGCCATAGTCTTCAGTAAAGTGTTAAGTGTAGACTTTTGAATTAGAGTGTTCTAGAGTGGGGATTAAAATCCCAGGTCTGCCTCCTATTCGGATGACCTTGAACAATGAACATTGTCTATCAGATGCTCAGTTTTCATTTGGAAAATAAGAATAATCTAGTAACTACTAGTAGCTACTTAATTGAGGATTATTAAAGGTTGCATTTGTTAAGGTATCTAGTGCTCAGCGGTTGATACTATTACGTGTGATTTCTGAATTTTTTTGTGTTTATTTAGCTCCAGAGCAATACAATGTTACCATAATATTTTTTTCAGAATTGGATGAGGTAAATTTGTGAAAATGATACAGTCCTAAAGTCTATCCAAATGTTTCTGTATTGCTGGAGTTAGCTGTGCCTCTTTGAACTTCAGTTTCCTCTCCTAAAATGGGGATGTTAGTGTCTATCTCATAGGATTTTTAGGATTCTGTGTAAGTTAATACATGTAGGAAGTTATCCAGAACACAACCTGGTATATAGTAAGTGCTCAGTAGAATCTGTTTTATAATGATTATCGTTGTGCTTCATCTTGCTACTAATGGTGGAAATTTAAAAATAAGAGTAGCTGGGGACGCCTGCTGGCTCAGTCAGTAGAGCATGCAACTCTTACTAATCTTGGGGTACTGAGTTTAAGCCCTGCGTTGGTCGTGGAGCCTGAAGTTTTAAAAAAGTAATGAAATAAATAATAGCTCATAGGTGATATTATCAAAGAACTGTTGGATTTTTAAAGTTGAAAAAGACATTAGAGATCATCTGGTAGTTGGGAAGAAACTGGAGAACAGTGCCTGGCATGTAGTAGGTACCTGGTATTTTTGACTGAATGAAACTAAGATTATGTGATTTACTCAAAGGAACAAAAACTCTGGATGCAGAAATCAGTACAAATAATGGTTCCTTCTTCCTGATTGAAACTGCTGGCTTGATAATTATGCATAAGACACTAACCTGTCTCCCAGTTTGTATTCCTATTAAATTTGATATTTCATAAAAATAGCAATACAGGGGCGCCTGGGTGGCTCAGTGGGTTGGGCCTCTGCCTTTGGCTCAGGTCATGATCCCAGGGTCCTTGGATCTGCCCCGCAGTTGGGCTCTCTGCTCAGTGGGGAGCCTGCTTCCCTCTCTCTCGCTGCCTGCCTCTCTGCCTATTTGTGATCTCTCTCTCTCTCTCTGTCAAATAAATAAATAAGTAAAATCTTTAAAAAAAAAATTTTATTTATTTATTTGACAGACAGAGATCACAAGTAGGCAGAAAGGCAGGCAGAGAGGAGGAAGCAGGCTCCCCGCTGGGCAGGGAGCCCGATGTGGGGCTCCATCCCAGGACCCTGGGATCATGACCTGAGCTGAAAGTGGAGGCTTTAACCCGCTGAGCCACCCAGGCGCCCCAATAAAATATTTTTTTAAAAATAGCATTACATTTCTGGAACTTTTCTGCCTGCAAATTAAAGATAAAAATCAGGTAGCTTGTTAATTCCCTCTTTATTTGACATACCTTATGCTAGTTTATTCTCCTCTGAAGATTTTGTACAGCTGTAATCTTTCATTATGTTTTAAGAAAATAGAAGACTGTTGGATTCTGCTTTGATTTGATAAGGCTTTGTTATTTCTTTTTTTAAAATATTATTAATTTTTATTTATGTATGTGAGAGAGAGAGTGGGGGTGGGCAGAGGGAGAGAATCTGAAGCAGACAACCCACTGAGCTTGGAGCTGATGCGGGGCTCTATCCCACAACCCGTGAGATCATGACCTGAGCTGAAATCAAGAGTCAGACGCTTAACCCACTGAGCCACTCAGGTGCCCCAAGCCTTTTGTTATTTCTTAATAAGAAATGGATTTTTAAAAATAAGTGACTTGTTTCTCCCTCACTGGATGACACTTTCATTCACTCAGCAAAACATTTGTCAGATACCTACTCTTCTTTCAGGCAGTCTTTTTTTTTTTTTTTAATTTTAGATGCTTGGGATACAATATGAATATGACAGTGCCTCTTCTTTCTTTCTTTCTTTTATTTTTAAATTTTTTATATTTTATAAACATATAATATATTTCTATCCCCATGGGTACAGGTCTGTGAATCGCCAGGTTTACACACTTCACAGCACTCACCATAGCACATACCCTCCCCAGTGTCCATAACCCCACCCCCTTCTCCCAACCCCCCCTCCCCCCAGCAACCCTCAGTTTTGTGTGTGCCTCTTCTTTCTGCTACCCTCATAAATGTTGCATCCAAAACACCTGAGATACATGTTAAAATACAGATTCTCAGGCCCAAGGTTAGGACTCACACTGGGGTAAGACTTTTTAAAATAGGGGCTAACTTTTCCAAAAGTTTTAAAGTTCTGATAATAAACCAAACTTAGGCACTATTGCTCAAGGAATTTACCTTCTGGAGAAGATAAAGTATGTTTACAAGTAGTGGTGTGTGGTGAGTGCCAAAGGAAGATATTTCTTGAAAACCTCAGGCTGTTGTAAGAAATTAAAATTCTTGGATGTTTTCTTGATAATAAAATGTGAAAATTCTTAAGGTGGGAGGGATTATCTACCAGTAATCTGTATTTGATTGATTTCCTTTTATTTAAAGTATATATGTTTTATATATTTATATAAGGGAGCTTTTGTTCCCAACCTTTCCACAATTTTTGGAAAATTCAGGTAGGTCATCAACACAGGATTTGGTCTATTTGATATTTTAAAAAGTCTTTAAAGAATTCAGGGCTATGATAGATAGAGCTCTTAGACTCTTGGAAGCTATTTTGACATTAACGTGTAAGTTGCTTACAGATTTGAGCCTGATCCTATCGGTGCAATGTGTATTTAAGCCTTCTGAAGGTATCCTAACTTTCATAGCCATTTTTTAGTTATATAAGATTTCTCATGGTAAGATTTCTCTTATTGGCAGTTATCTTTAAAAACTAATTTCTCATAATCTTGCTTTATATAAAATAATTCAAATTTGTATTTGGCTGATTCCCCCCCCTCAGAATTATTAAAAGTAAATAGTCTGTGCAACTATTGTTTTCACCATTTTGCGTACAATATTTCTAGGATTCAGTATTGACTCATTTGCCTTAAATAACAGTTTGCCTAAATTGACTTTGATATTTGTGACCATTATTTAAAAAGCCATTTTGTTGTTGTTGTTGTTCAGTTCTCTGAGGCTTTCTGGGGTTACTGAGGCATTTTGTAAGGCTCTCTGCCACAACCCTAGAAGGCGCCCATACTTCTGCTCTCTTCTCTTGGTTAGCCTTGGAAGGTTATGTAGTTTAGATAGTTCTTCCAGTACAGACTGCCATTGCTTAAGTTGAAATTTCTCTCAAAGCTGTTCCATGTTCTTTCGCCTTTTCTATGTAAAACAGCCACATAGAACCAAGTGTGGTGACAAAGCTATGTCAGGAGGTGATAGCCATAAAGTTTTACTTCCTTCATAGGTCAAAAACTGGGCACTAAAGTCACTGTATTTCAGTATTCATTTGGGCTTCTTAAATTCTGATATGCTTGTTTAAAGATTTTTTTTTTTTTTTTTTTTTTTTTTGACAGAGAGATCACAAGTAGACAGAGAGGCAGGCAGAGAGAGAGAGAGAGAGGGAAGCAGGCTCCCTGCTGAGCAGAGAGCCCGATGCGGGACTCGATCCCAGGACCCTGAGATCATGACCTGAGCCGAAGGCAGCGGCCCAACCCACTGAGCCACCCAGGCGCCCTGATATGCTTGTTTAAAGGAAATCATTTTTAAATATAACTAAGACCTATCTTTATGGTAAAGTCTTACTTTCATAGAATAATTTAAACTTTTAAGGATTTTTAAAAGAGGTCAGTGGTAAATTGTATTTCTGATTATCTGGGTGAAAATGTTTAATCCCAGTCTGTTTACTCTTGAATTTTTTATGCTATCATCTTCTCTATAGATAGGTTAGCCAAAACTGACCATATTAATAGTAATATTTTAAAAGTATGAGTTATTTATTATAATACCTTCAAATAACGAGTTGCTTTTAATTTAATTATATTGCTAAGGCCTGATAAAGCTATAAATCAACAGAGGGTATGTTTGCAGGTTTATTGTATACAGTCTTAATTATATAGTAGTATAGTAAAAAGAACATTTTTTTAACTCTGTGCAAATAATAACTGGACTTTCTTTACAGAAAGCCACAAAGAAAACTGATAGACCCAGACTAGAAGATAAAGATGATCTAGATGTAACAGAGCTCACTAATGAAGATCTTCTGGATCAGCTTGTGAAATATGGAGTGAATCCTGGTCCTATTGTGGGTAAGTTGGTAAAATTTCCTTTTCTGTGAGTGTCCTACATTGTTTTCTTGTCTGGTCTAGCAGTTAGAGTTTGGGTTCTAAGGAACAATGTGTCATTAATTATTTATGTGGCCAGGACACAAGTTCCTTGACTATAAATGAGGAAAATAAAATGAGAAAAATGAATTTAGATAATCCCCAAGATTATCTCTGTTGTTGAAATTGTTTCATAATGTTGCTCATGTCACAAGTACCTGGTGAGACATAGGGATCTTACATGACAACTGAGGAAAATATGAGGTTACATAGTGGGCCAGGTTCATCCAAATCAGTAAATTGGTGACAGACTTATTAATATAACCCAAATTAATCAATTCCTAGCATAGTATCCATTTTTAGTTATCATTAAATGTACCATTTATAAAGTCTTGTTTTGATTAGAAATCAAGAATGGTCCCTTGAAGAACAAACTAAAAAAAGAAGACTTGAAACTAAATACACTGGATTTCTATCATTTGGTTACTATTGGTGATTTTTGCCTTAATTTTGGAGGGTCTTGACAATAACCTCAAGATGAGAAATGTCTGTTTTGGTATTCTGAATTGTGTAAAATTTTAAACACTGGACAAATCATAAGAGACTCAACCATAGGAAATTGAAGGTTGCTAGAGGAGAAGGGGGTGGAGGGATGAGGTAACTGGGTAAGGGGCATTAAGGAGGGCACATAATGTAATGAGCGCTGGGTATTATGTAAGACTGATGATCACAGACCTTTACCTCTGAAACTAATGATATACTATATGTCAATTAATTTAAAAAAATTTTTTTAAAGATTATTTATTTGACAGAGATCACAAGTAGGCAGGCAGGTGCCAAAGGAGTGAAATTTTAAACCAATCAGTCTGGAATTTCCTTGTCCACACTTGTGAGGTAATATGGATAAGACCACCTGCTCTGCCCCTTAAGGGGAAGGTGAACTTGCCTGAAACAATCTTTTCTTTTGCTAGCAATCTTCCTGTTTCTGCCTATAAAATTCTCTTCGGTACAGTTCCTTTCTACTTGGAAGATGGGATGCTGCCCAATTTATGAATCACTGAATAAAGTCAATTAAGTCTTCAAATTTATTCAGTTGAGTTTTGTGTTTTAATAGTACACAGGTTTTTTGTATCTTCATTTCTCTTGGGTCAGTACCTAGGAGTAGACTAGCTGGGTCTTGGCATGCCTGCGTGTAAGTTTGCCTTTATAAGAAACAACTGAACTAACTGGAATATTTTGCATTCCCACTGACCATACATGAATATTCTTGTTGTTCCCCATCTTTGCTAGCACTTGAGATTGAGATTTTGAGTCATTCCATTAGGTGTGTAGTAGGATCTCTGTGTGGTGAATAGGTCTTTTCCTAATGAATAATGATGTTGAGTATATTTTCACGGGTTTATTTGAAGATCTTAATATTTTGCGTATTTTTCAATTGGGTGGTTTTCTTACTGAATTTTGAAAGGTTTTTTTGTATATTCTGATTACTTGTTTTTAAAAATCTGATATATATCTTGGGATATATCAACACATATATGATATATCTTGGGAGATGCATTTTCTCTCAAGCTGTGCCTGGTTTTTTTCACTCTCTTAAAGAATTTTTTTTTTAATAAAGATTTTATTTGTTTATTTGACAGAGAGAGAGAGATCACAAGTAGGCAGAGGGGCAGGCAGAGAGAGAGAGGGGGAAGTAGGCTCTCTGCTGAGCAGAGAGCCCAATGCAGGGCTCCATCCCAGGACTCTGAGACCATGACCTGAGCCAAAGGCAGAGGCTTAACCCACTGAGCCACCCAGGCGCCCCAAATTAAATAAAATTTTTAAAAATTTGAACACTGGCAATTTGGGGATTTGTTTTTGTTTTTGTTTTTTCTATAGGTGAAGTTGCAAACAAAAATTTAGAATGTTATCTTTCATTTTATTTAACATAGTACTTCCAAATAGCTGGAAATAAGCCTATGAATATAATTACCAACAGACATTTGATGCACTTTTTAATTTTTCATTTAAAATTCCAAAAGGGAGATGCTACAAAAATGTGTATTATATATCAATATATATTAAGTTACATGGTAGCATACCAGCTGTTCATTTTTTCCCAACCTTTTTGGGGTATAATTGACAAGTTACATATATTTAGTATGTATAACTTGATGTTTTTGTAGTATATATTGTGAAGCGATCACTGTGATCAAGCCAGTTAATATATCTATCACCTCACAGTTTTAGTTTGTGTATGGATGTGTGATGAGAGAGCACTTAAGGTCTACTTCTGCAGATTTCCAGTATATATAGGCCACTCTAGATATTAGATTTCCAGAACTTAATTCATCTTGCAGAAATTTCGTACCTTTTGACCAACATCCTACACTTCCCCCTCCATCTTACAGCTACTTATGTAACATTTTGAGATGTGTTGTTTCTAAAATATGTATATTTATCATCATTGTATTCATCTTATAGAAACCAGGGAGACATGCAGCTAGTGTAAAATAGAAAATAAAGGCTATTTTTGGCTTTAAATTGTCATTCATGCTGAAATGTGTTAAAAATGTGTTTATAGTCCATTTTATTTTGCTATCTAATTGGTATGTAATTTCTGCTTGTGGTACACATTTTCCATAAAAGGTTATTTTAATCACAAAGTAGTTTTATCTAAAATGATTTAATTCCTTAAATATATACAATTTTTTTTTAAGATTTTATTTATTTGAGAGAGAGGGCACGAGTAGGGGTGGGGGGAAAGGGCGGTGGGAGAGAGAGAAGCAGGCTTTCCACTGAGCAGGGAGCCTGATGTGGGGCTCAATCCCAGGACCCCAGGATCGGGACCCGAGCCAAAGGCAGACACCCAACCCACTGAGCGACCCAGGTGTCCCCAAAATTTATACAGTGTTATATGAAAATATATTCAACTAAAAAAGTTATTTATATGCTTTTTCTTTTCCCATAACTGAGTGGCTCTTTTTAGGCGTATTAAATTCTGAGAGTCTTGGGATTTTAATCATAGTATTCAGAGGAATACGGTTTATAAAAGTGATTTTTTTCTACAAGGCAAATACTATTACATAGTACTGGGGGAAAATATACAGAGTCCAAGACTTTTCAGTCAAAAATACTTGGTCATACATGGCTCTTTAGTAGGTGATCTGTAGTAAGATTTATATCAATCTACTATGTACTTCATGTTACTAAAAGAAACGTTGTAATCATGTATTAAAATCTCAGAAAAACACCTATTTTAGAAAAGAATCCTTTATATAGTTTTTAAAGCACTTACATGTAGGAAAGGAAAGAGTGAATGTAACATTTTAATGTTGCTAAAGACAATCAGTAGGATCTTAAACAAGACAATACAAATGCTAAACCAAGTTCTGCCTTAATACAGGAACAACCAGGAAACTATATGAGAAAAAACTGTTGAAACTGAGGGAACAGGGAACAGAGTCAAGATCATCTACTCCTATGCCAGCAATTTCTTCATCAGCAGAAAATACAAGGCAGAATGGAAGTAATGACTCTGACAGATACAGTGACAATGAAGAAGGTAAAATTTTAAATGATGTTAGTCAAATATATGTAATTTTTTTCAGACTTATAAGGCACAGTAACCATGAAGAAGATAAAACTTTAAATATTACCAAGTTACATGTAATTTCTGTTCATATCATCAGTAATCCTCTAAGTAATTTCATTTGAGTACCTTTTGAGAATTCTAAGAAACAGAAATGTACAAATGTCTGATTTTTTTTTTTGGTCACCTAAAATTGCCAGGTACTTTTTTTTTTTTTTTTTTTAATTTCATTTTTATAAAAGAATAAAGTATTAAAAATAAAGATGAAGTTCCCCCACTTACCCTTTCCAAGTATTATTAACACAGAAGCAACCACTGTCATTAATTTGGTGCTAATCTTTCCAATCCATTTTTAAATACCTTTTTTTTTTTTTTTTTTTTTAAAGTAGGCTCCCATTCCTAGTCTGGAGCCCATTATGGGCTTGAATTCACAATCCTGAGATCAACACTTGAGCTGAGATGAAGAGTCGGATACTTGACCGACTGAGCCACACAGGCACCCCAAATACTCTTTATATGCATCTAAAACATAATATTATTTAGAACTTTTAAAAAAATTATATAAATAGCATGCCAAATCTTTTCACTTGCTTTTGAGATCTCATCCTACTGATAGATTACATATGTGTCCAGTTTATTATAATTAATATACAGTGGTATTTATAATATGGCATATATTCTGTTCTGTTAATATTTAAATTTATAGTTTTGCTAGATAATGTGATTTCAGGGCACCTATGAAGCAAATATTTTGACGTATTTTTAGTGGACTGTTATAAGAAAATTTGACCATAATATTTAAGTATTTTTTGAAAATAGTACGTGAAATTAATGACCTTTCTATAATAAGAACAACTTGATACTTTTTAATTTTTAATTTCATATAACTTGTTTGTCAGTTTCATGATTATTTAATTTGATTCAAATTACTTATATCTTCATAAGCACTGCCTGCCAGGGCACAGTGTGTCGATTGGTTGTTCAGAATATGAAATATAGTCTTTTCCTTCAACAGCACTATGTTAGCAAGGAGGCAAAGAATAAAATTAGCTTGAACACAAGTAATGCTTAAACTTCCTGCCTCTTTTGCCTCTACAGGAAAGAAGAAAGAACACAAGAAAGTGAAGTCCACTAGGGATTTTGTTCCTTTTTCTGAACTTCCAACTACTCCCTCTGGTGGATTTTTTCAGGGTATTTCTTTTCCTGAAATCTCCACCCGTCCTCCTTTGGGCAGGACTGAACTACAGGCAGCTAAGAAAGTTCATACTTCTAAGGGAGACCCACCTAGGGAACCTCTTATTGCCACAACCTTGCCTGGCAGGGAACAATTGCAGAAGTTAGCCTCTGGAGGTAATTTGTTTACTTCCTCCAAGTCTAGCCATGATAGATGTTTAGAGAAAAGTTCTTCGGCATCTTCTCAGCATGAACTCGCTGCCATGTTGGTCTCTGCTGCAGCTTCTCCTTCACTGATTAAAGAAACCACCACTACTTGCTATAAAGATATAGTAGAAAACATTTACCATGGAGAGAAAAGTGGAATTCAACCATTGTGTACTGAGAGGTCCCGTGTTTCAGATCAGTCAGTTCTCTCCAGTGAAAGGAAAGCACTAGAAGAGTCTGAGAGATCACAAGTAATTTCTCCACCACTTGCTCAGGCAATCAGAGATTATGTCAATTCTTTGTTGGTCCAGGGTGGGGTAGGTAGTTTGCCTGGGACTTCAAACTCTACAGCCCCACTGGATGTAGAAAACAGATGGAAGAGAATTGATCGATCTAATTATCAAGACACTGAGTCCCTGTCTCCTCCACGAAAATTCCCTCGGCTCAGTGAAAAGTCAGTAGAGGAAAAGGATTCAGGTTCCTTTGTGACATTTCAAAATACACCTGGATCTGAACTGTTGTCATCTTTTGCCAAAACTGTTGTCTCTCACTCACTCACTACCTTAGGCCTAGAGGTGTCTAAGCAGTCACAACATGAGAAAATAGATGCCCCAGAACTATCTTTTCCCTTCCATGAATCTATTTTAAAGGTAATTGAAGAGGAGTGGCAACAAATTGACAGAAAACTGCCTTCATTGGCATGCAAGTATCCAATTTCCTCCAGAGAGGCAACACAGATATTATCAGTTCCAAAAGTAGATGATGAAATACAGGAGTTTATTTCTGAAGCCACTCCACCAGTAGGTATTCAGGCAGCTTCCACGGACTCTTGTGATAAACAGTTAGACTTAGTACTTTGTAGAACATACGAAGCTGCAGCATCAGCATTGCAGATTGCAACCCATACTGCCTTCGTAGTTAGGGCTCTACAGGCAGACATTAGTCAGGCTGCACAAATTCTTAGCTCAGATCCTAGTCATTTGCACCAAGCACTTGGGATTCTGAGCAAAACATATGATGCAGCCTCATTTCTTTGTGAAGCTGCATTTGATGAAGTAAAGATGGCTGCCCATAGTATGGGATCTTCCACGTTAGGTCGCCGCTATCTCTGGCTGAAGGATTGTAAAATTAATCCAGCTTCGAAGAATAAGCTGGTGGTTACTCCCTTTAAAGGTGGAACATTATTTGGAGGAGAAGTGTATAAAGTAACTAAAAAGCGTGGAAATAAGCACTAATAAAGTTAAGAATAAAAATACCTATTTGATCTTTGATACGGGGAACTTAGCAGCTTCCCTAAGAATTTCAAGTGCTTTTATGCCAAGATTTTGAAGATCTTTTTAGACTCCAGATTGGGCTATTTTCGAAGTCAAGCTTCTGCCCATCAAACTGTAGTTTCAGACTATTTGCCTACGTAGAACTGCCTTTACTTTTTCGGTTGCACAGATAGGAAAAGCCTGATAGAAACAATTTAAAGATTTCTGGGTCACATTTTTGCCTCATACAGTTCATTCTCTCCTATTAAGATTTTACAATTCTCCAAGATATAGAAAACGCTAATAGCTAGAATATAAGTGGAGTCTTCACTGATTTAAATATTACTATATATTTTTTCACTTTCTGGAACTTGTCTACATTTTTTTCTTTTATTCTCACTTTTGTTTGTTTTTCCTTCTGTATTCCTTCATAATATTCTAGATCAATGAAATTCAAAGTGCCAGTCTGTAGACAGTTACTGATCCACTGATAAGTATGCAACAGAATTTGGATCTAGAGACACTTTTTAGATGAATGACAGTGTTTATTTTTGTGGCAAATTTTTATTGATAAAACAGTGTGCCAGTTTACATTCTGGTGCAAGTGTCTCATTTCTTTAAGGACTGGTAACAAACAGTTCATGGACCACACCTTACAAAATACTGCTTTAAACCATGTAATTGTGGAATGGTGCATTCTAACTATCACTGTAGTGTGTCAGATGAACTAGACACTGGAAAAGTGGGGCCTTTTTTTTTTTTTTTTTTTTTTAATAATTTCAGGTTCTGTTGTGGTTCATGGATGGTTAGATTTAATCTAAATTCTAAAAGCAGATTTAAGCTATTTTTAAAAAATTCCTAAGAAACACTATATTCCGTTGTGTAAAGCAGTATATTGTGTTTTCATTTCTATGATTGTAAGATGAGTCTAACTATAGAGACATTTAATAATCAAATTTCTTTGTATTTTTATGGAAAATAGTAGTGTTAAGTATCAGCAAAGTTCAGTCCCTTTGGTACTCCTGGCAATTATTATATTTTTACTATACATGTCCATCTTTGCATCTTCCTGGGAGTAATTTTATTTGTCATTTGTCTTCTGGAATGTACATGTATACATGTACCTACTAAGTGCTATGTGACTTTTTCTAATGTATTACTGTAGAATGCTTCTGCAAATTCAATAAAGTTGTAATTTGAACAGTTTCGTGTGGTCTCCAGAAACATGTTGTATGTGTGTTTTATTCTTGGAGTTGCAACAAGTTAGGTATTTGTTCTTGAACATTTCCTTTCCATTTTTTCAATGAAGAAATGAAACTTGCTTGAGATTCCAATGGTATAGTTTAAAATACTCTACTTATTGTGTGGTTTTTCTTCTGTTAAAGACCATGTTTTTATTGGCTGTTGGAATTTAAATTTGAAAGGAATTAATTTATAACCAGATACTTTATTTGTTTAATCAATTTCTGCTCAATTACCATTGGGTTCTTTAGTTTGTGATTTCTAATTCTTAGATTTTGAATTAATAAAACATAAGGTTTATAATGTTAAACGTTGTCACAAACTTAAATATATCAATAGATTAATAGACATTTGGGGAGGTGGGGGTTGGGTTGATACATTAATCCTAAGTAAAATTGAACTATTTGAACTAACATAGTAAAAATTACTAGTTGGGGGAAAATAGCAAGTAGACTCTGGACTGACTAGTACTAGACTAGATAGTAAAACTTAACTGTCCTGACTACTTTTTAGCACCAGCGCATCAAGTTCATGAAAAGCTAAGCTTTTTAAGAATTAACTCTATTTCTATCTTTGGTAGGAAAGTATTCTAACTTAAATTTTTGGTAATACAAGTTTTAGTAGTCACAACAGACATTAATTTTGCTATACTATGATAAATGATGACAAAAATGTGGGACTTAACTGAAACTTTTATAAGTCTTTAAAAATCTAGCTCTTCAGGGGCACGTGGCAGGCTCAGTCGGTAGAACGTAGGACTCTTGGGGTCATGAATTCAAGCCCCATGTTGGGTTTAGAGATTACTTTAAAAAAAAAAAGAAAACTAGCTCTTCAAATGGTGATAAAAATGAAGGCTAGGAGAATGGGATATTGAAGACTATAAAAAGATATATTTGAGTTGGTTAGCATCATGGTGAAATGCTAATTAATATATATGCACTGGCTTCTCTTCAAATAAATGTTACTTTTATTATGGAGTGACCTGTGAGTATTACTCTCTGTGATCAGGATTCTTTATTACCTTCTTGGTTGTACCCAGTTTTTTTATAATCACATCAAAACAGAAGTGAGGACTTTTAAACTGCACTGAAGTATCAAAGTCACTGCAATTACTTTTTTTAGGGGCTTAATACCATACAGTTGTTTTCAGTCTTAAAGTTCCCTATAGCTTTTTTCTTCCGTATTTCAAATTTTACTGACCTTTGTTTATATGGTAGTAATGCACTGTATGAACAAAAGAATATTAGCAACTGTGTGTTTTAATAGCCTCTTCCTTTATCCAAGTAGTTTTTTTGTGAAAAGCCTCCATGGGCAGTTTGAATTCACTTTATGTTTTAGGCTATTAGTCCCAGAAAAAGGGAAGAATAGGAAGAAGCAGTGAACAGATGAAGGAGTAGGGGAGATGAACAAAACTGGAATAAAATAAGAATGGAAAAGTAAAGTTTTTAAAGACAAATTGCAGTTGAATAGTCATGGTCTGTTGCGGTAATAACCAATAGGCAAACTTGTTTTACGTAAGAATGCCTAAAACCAAGGTTCCAGAATAATGTTAGGATGACATTGTAATTTATTGTATATTTCAGAGAGTAATGTTTCTCCGATGTTATTTCCAGACTCTAAAATAGAGCTCAAGCTTGAGAAGAGAGAACCACTAAAGGGCAGAGCAAAGACTCCAGTAACACTCAAGCAAAGAAGAGTCGAACATAATCAGGTATCTTTAGTTTTATGATCACTGTGTTCAGGTATAAGTAATCTGACAACACTAATTTGCTTGTGTCCTAGCCTTTGGTTAAATAAACTCCAGCGCTCTCAATGAAGTGTTCATTCCATTGTTCATTAAATGGCATTAGAAATCTAAGCTTCATGTTTTTTGTCAGTAGTGTAGCCTGTGCTTACTGCAAAAGCAAGTGTTTAATAAATGTCTCATTTGTGTTTGATTTTGTGCTGAGCATGGTTCAAAGCCAGTCATATACTGCCTTTCAAGGGAAATATTTTAAAAGGTGGAAATAAATGCCTAAGCATTTTTTTTTAAAGGAAAGGAAGGATTTTATATTTAATCTTTGTCTAGGTTTCTAACTTTGCTTTTACTTTTGCTTGTCTTCTGTGGCTTTTCCCTCAACTCTGAAGCTAGTCTGTTCCTAAGACCACACTTTTCTTTCCTTATCTGAGGTGAAAATTTATCTTTTTCATTGTAGGTGAGGCAAGATAAATTTTTCAAAAGGAAAATGTAGGAAACTGAGAACTAATAAGCAGGTATAAATGAACTAATTTACAGAGAACAAATTATTGACTAATCTAGCATTGATTTGGCTGACCTTTACAAGGTAGCTATCCCAGGAGTCCTTTTCCTTACCCTTATTTTGTCTAGCTGGAAAGATTTGTCTAGTTGGTTATTTATCTTTTCCATCTTCTCTTTGTCATTTTAAAGCCACACATCCTCAGAGAAAGTTCTTGATTTCTTAAGCCATGTCTGTCTGGGGTTGATGACTTGATAAGTTGAATTTCAGAATTCTTTGTTAGAAATAATCTTGGTGATTATGGAGAATGTATAGAGCACTCAGTGAAAGATTTTTTTTTTAATATAGAACCAAATACTGGAATAAAGATACTGCCCTTTTATTTAGTAGGGAAGAGCTCCAGGGTCATGCTGAAGAATAAGGAAATAATAGAGCAAGAGAAACTAAGAAAATCTAGTGAAGGACAATGAAAATAGACAAGTATGGAGAATTTTAGTCCGCAGTATGAAGGCAGGATGGTATAGTGCCATCAAGAATGCTGGACTGATCAGATAATAGGTTAAAAGCCGGGATGAAGGATGGTATTATAGATGGTTTAATTGAGTTGGGGAATCCAAACTGAAGGACAGGATAAATAGATTTAGGAGATGATTATGGCCCTAACAAAATTTAAAAACATCAAGAAAATTGGAGGGAAGAGTTTAATGACCCTCTAGTCACAGAGCCTCACAAGTTTTAACATTTTACGGTTTTATTTCATCTTCACCTGTACCTTCCAGCTTTTTAAATTCCTTTTGGTATTGCTATTTTTTGCTTTTTTGCTGGAATATATTAAAGTGAATCTCTGACATCATTTCACACATTAAAATGTCAGTATTTCAGTATATATCTCAAAAAGATAGCTGTTTCATACATATATATAACAACAATGCCACTATCACACCTAATAAGATTAATAATTCTTTCATGTCTAATCTATTCAAATTTCTCCAGTTTCAGAAATACCTCTTATGATTAACTTACTCAAATCAGGATCCAAGTAATCTACACATACTGTTTGGTATTTGTTTTGTTTTGTTTTTATCTCGTAAGCCAATAGTTGTCTCCACTGCAAGTTTCCCCTCTATTAATTTGGTGAAGAAACCAGGTCAGTTCTCTCCAGAATTTCCCACATTCTGGATTTGGCAGATTGCTTCTTCAAGTGTTGTTTAATCTCTTATTCTATAACTGCTTTCTGGAGACTGGAGTTAGACCTGTCGTAGAACTGTGTAGTCAGTAGACCTTTCTGTGATGATAGAAGTGTTCTTTATATCTGCTGTCCATTGTGGTAGCCATTAGCCACATGTGGCTATTGAATACTTGAAATGTGGCTTGTGTGGTAGAGAAGCTATAACTTTAATGTTACTTAAATAGCTACATATGGCTAGTAGTTTCCATGTTGAACAGCATAGATCTAGAGAATTGGTTAGATTCAGGTTCAGTTTCTTTGACACAAATACTTCATAAATGGTGTTCTGGTTTTCATATTGCATCATTTCAGGAGGCAAATGATGCTAAGTTAGGTTCAGGTGTTGAAAGCATGATCCATCCATTTTAAAGACCCATATTACCCTTTCATTTAATGGTTATGACTGTCATTTATGATTATTGCCTAGATCTACTATTTTGGTTGTAAGGTAATGATTTTTCTCATTGTCTTACTCCATTACATCTGTAACTGGAATTCTTTTATAAAGAACTTTTCCCTCATGACCTGCATAGTTATCTTCAAATAAAATTCACACAGGAGAGCCAGCATAATTTGCCAGCTTTCAAGTTAAAGCCTAGTCACTTTGAAAGTTGATCAATAAAATCATTTTTAACTAGTATGGTTTTTATCTATTTCATTTATGACCAGTTATGCTCATCATTCTTTTTCCATGTTCAAACTGTGCCATCTTCAGCCATTAGGTTCCTCTCGTTCTGTGTTGGTTCCTGTGTCATTTTATTGACCCTGTTTGTCTTTGATAGTTTCTTATTTTCTGCCACAGTAAGATGTCCCAGGCTCATGTATGGTGCCTGCCTTTTACCAAATCAGCCCTTTTTCCAAAGAACCCTAATCCTTTTCATTGCAAGTATTATTTGGAGGCTACCTACAGTCTGCATGGTAGGTTGTTCATTTCTGCTGGGTTGTCATTGCTTCTAGGCATTTTTACTAAGTAGAGCTAGGAGTACTTCTTTTTTAGAAAGAGAAAATAAATCATGAGTTCATCAAATTTATGAATGCAAGCTATCTAACTTCTGGGTGTTTTGCCTATATCTCTTATGCTGAGTGTCTTGGTTCTTAAAATAATGTGATTTATGTAGTTACCACTATATAGATGTTTCAACATAATACAGTGCTCTTGATCATAAGGCTGCTAAATGGCAGTTTTGACGGGGGGGGGGTGGGGTTGCAGTTTTTGTCTTTTGAGCATAAAATTAAAATACTGTGCTTCAAATCACTTGAATGAATTTTCTTTCATAACTTTTTTAATATTGAATATATAGTTTTATTTAGGCAAAATAAGATGGAGTCAGAAATTTGGCTTTTATCTTTGTTCCTTCCATTTATAGGCAACTTTCTGTTAGGTTGGGGTTAATTTCTTTTTGAAAACAATAAGTAAATACATAGATTTATACACTTATTTTTGCTCCCCTCCTTACATAAAAGGCAGTAAACTTTGCACATTTCTACCTTTCTGGTA